AAAAAAAAAAGATCTTGTCTCAAAACACAAAAATAGGTCTGGAGGGACAGCTCAGCAGTCTAAGCACCTGCCTGACAAGCCCAAGGACCCAGGTTCAATCCCTGGTACCGCATGCTGTACCGGCCCAGAACTCTGGGTGTGCCAGGCAGCCACTAAAGCCAGGCATGGTGGCGTACACCTGTAACCTCAGCCCTGTGGAGGCTGAGATAGGAGGATTGCTATGAACCTGAGCTGTGTAGTGAGACCCTGTACCAAATAAATATTTTTAAAAATTTTAAGTAAATAAATGGGCTACAGATATAGCTTGTTGCAAGTTTCAATCCCACAAACAAACAAATGAACACTATACAATGAGCCCCCAAGTCATCAGCTCACCCCAAGTTCTCAAACCCGTATCTCAAAAGGATAATGTCACACAAAATTTCTGGTGGATCTTTCCAAAACATTTTACATTTATATCCTATATTTTACACAACTGGAAGTATATTCATACACCATTCTGCATTTAATAGCTCTGAACAATTCATATTAGCACATAACATGCTTAGACTTTTGTTTTGTTTTGTTTTGTTTTGTTTTTATGACCAGCTCAGCCCGATAGCACGGCAAGTGGTGCTGGGGATCAAACCACAGTCCCTGAGCTTTGCCTAAGTTTACCTAAGCAGGCGCTTTAGACTACTGAGCTATCTCACCGGCCTGACTTTTTTTTTTTTTTTTTTTTTTTAATGTGGCACAGATTACTTGTGTCAATGTTAATCTATCCACTGCACAGGAGTTAGATTTCACTGTGATCATCCTTCATTCACTGCAAGGCCCACCATGATCTTGCAAAGGACTTCACCATAATATTTTTCAGTGCAATTTTTCTTTCATCATGGATAAAATCTTGCTCAAAAGCTAAATCATGCAGATGTGTGGGGAGGTTGGCGATCAAGTGTCAAGAAATCAGCTGGCTGCTTACAATCAAACTCTAATCCTTTAGTCGAACTTTTTAATTTATTTCATCTATTTATTTATTTTTGGCAGAATCTGGGATTGAACTCAGGCCCTTGTGCTTGCCAGGGGTTTATTCCACTGAGCCATCTCCCCCACCCCCTTTTTAGGGGAGGTTTATTTTTTGTTTTTGGTGCGGAGGACCGAACCCAAGGCTTTCAGCTTGCTAGGCAACCATTCTACCGCTGAGCCAAACCCCCAGCCCGTCCAAAACCCGGCGTGGTGGCGCACACCTGTAATCCCAGCACTCACTAAGGCAAGGAGGATCACTGCGAGCTGGAGTTCACGAAGCGAGACTTCAAGGCCAGCCTGAACTGCATAGAGAGGACTCTTGTCTCTCGCCTCAAAGATTCGGAGATGGAGGGAGTTTATGTAACAGTTGTAGTAGAGGCGCCAAGTGCTGAATCACGAACTGAAACGAGCCAGCCCTGCTTTGAAAATCATATTATCTGGCAGTCGATCTCGCACTTTTGCCTGGTTTCATTCAGTTTTTCCAAAACTATTTGAATCCTGCGGGCAAGACTCAGCAGTTCAGGCTGGACTTCAAAACCCTAACATTTCAGAGGGAGCAGTGCCACCAGGAGGCCAGCTGCATAGGGGGCGCCCCGCGTGCGTGTGCGTGTGCGTGTGCGTGTGTGCGTGTGTGTGTTCTCGCAGCCCACTCGCAGGAGCTGCGTTTAAAAGACTGGAAATGTGCTCGCTTCCACAGCACATGTATTAAAGGGGTGGCAGTTTGTTCTCACGCAGCCATCCACTGCTCATGGAAAGGACTGGGTCTTTCTCTCATCTGTAGGGCTGCACTGACTGCCTACCCAATGCTGGGGGGTGGGGGAGCAGAGCCACACAAACAGGTGTCCCCCATCCCTCGCAAGAAAAGTCTTATCAAGTGAAGAAGGGTTCCTTTAAGTGACTGTTCAGCGCCCGGACTGTGCTTGATTAGCATGCATCCGGGGCCTCTAGAATTAATATGGGCGTGAAGGGCTGTTTATTTCAGTCTGAAGAGGCGAGATGGGGGGGGGGTCAAGCTTGATCTGTCCGAAAGACTACAAGTTCCAGAATGTATCTCTCTTTCCCCTCCCCCCCTCGTAGGAAGAAGCTAAGGTTGTAGGAGCACGGCCTGCTGGGAATTGTAGTCTTCAATTTGTTTGTGATGCAGGATGAACTAGGGGGGAGAGGGGAAGTAAGCTATTATCACGTGACACTCGGATCAAGTGATTGGCCCGGCCTCCGTGCCGGAGTTATGATTGGCTGGCTGAAATAAGAACGACGCCATTAGAGGCGGGCTGAAGAGGAGCGCAGGCGCGCTGAGTTGCGAGTCTCGGGACCCCTTTCGGAGAGACCATGGCGCTTAACAAGAATCACTCGGAAGGCGGCGGAGTGATCGTCAACAACACGGAGAGGTGAAAACACTGCGGAAGGATCCCGGAGAATCGAAGGGGTCTTGTTCAGGGTGTGGGTAGTGGGCTGTGGGCGATGGGGAAGAAACCTTGCGGAGACAGCTGATGGAGCGCGAGTGGGTGGGGGTAACGGACGGGCGGGGCTGGAGGGAGTGGGTGGGTCGTGGGGGGAGGCGGGATGCTGCGATCGGCTGGGGGGTGGGGCCGTCGGACTGCTAGACGGGGTCCGTTTTTGAGGCGAGAGGAGCCTGGGGTTAGGGGTTCATTCTTCACCCTTCTCCTAGATTCCGTGACTTAGGTGGGAGGGGACTTCAACAAAAATAATTGCCATTTATCGTGTGTTTACTATCTTGTTACTACGCGGTAGCCGATGCGACTCTTCTACTTAATAGATAAACCTTGCGTGGCAGAAATAATTATACACATTTCCGGGTAGAGAATGTGAGGCCCATCGAGATTAAGTAGATCGCAAAGACGTGAATTCCAGGAAAGGAGTTTGGTCCCAAAGCCAATACAGCCTTCCGGTAGATTCCAGAACCTCATATTTCAAGTGAAAAACTGAGGCCCAGGAAACAGAATTAAATAGGTAACATTTGTTAACTCCCCACTGTGTGGTGGGCCACACCAGTAATCCCAGCACTCAGAAGGCTGAGGCAGGAGATGGCGTCCAGTTCGAGGCCAGCAGAGGCCTTCTCTGGAAGACATGGTAGCGTCAAGAAATAGCAGAGGCCAACAGCCAGCCTGTGTCCTGCCACTTGGGAATGCCTGACAAGTTGTAGGAAAGGCAGGCCCAGGTGACCCAAAGGGTGTGAGCCCTTTGTAAAGGTTAGTCTCTAATTTAGGTTCTTTCTCTAATTTCCCCCTTTTTTTGTATTTGCTTTTGTTTGTTTGCTTTTTGAAACAGGGTTTCACTATGTACCTGAGGCTGGCCTTGAACTCACTATGGAGCTCAGGCAGGCCTCAAAGTGGATGCCATCTCCTGCCTCAGCCTTCTGAGTGCAGGGATTACAGGTGTGGGACCACCACACGATGCTTGCTTTTTTTCTCTTGAGTAACTTGGCCTATTCACTCTGCAGAGCAGTGGTGTCCCAATTTAGAAATTCTTCCTAACATTCCCCCCAGCTAATGCATTCTGTCTGTCATCTGACATTTGTGCTACTTAGACCCTTCTCACCTTGGGCATTGAGAATCAGACTGTCCAGCCCTGGGTTGTGCTGTGCTGACTCTGAGCTGCTTCAAATTTATTTATTTATTTATTTATTTTTTGCGGTACTGGGGATTGAACTCAGGACCTTGTACTTGCCAAGCAAGCACTTATTCCACTGAGCTATCTCCCCAGCCCCCCTGCTTCTAATTTAGAAGGAAGAGAAGCTTAGGAGAACACTGAGTCCTCAAGGAAGACGTGGTAGAATCGAGAGTTAGGCCCAGGTGACGCAGGTCTCAGAAAACTGCCTCTGTCTTACCCTGTGCTCTGGTGGGCCCCACCTATTCATGATAATCCCTTCTTTCTCTGTGCTGCCCCTTTTATTGGGGTGGCCCAAGAAAGTTGTGATACTTAGGAGGAGGAGAAAAACAATGAATGGAACAAAGTGCGTTAGACTTTTTATCATGTAATCAGAGGAACATCACATTGCCCACTAGTTTGCTGCACTTCCTGAGTGAGAGCCAGTTCCTGGGCCTGGAGAAATGCTTTTGAGGCCATTGAGTATTCTCTCTTGAGACTTTTTCTTTTACTGAGTCTTTTCTGGAATAAGAATCTTATCTATCCTGCTGAGCCTCCTACTTGGCTCAGTGCTCAGTGCAGTTCAATAAAAGTCTTGGAGCAGGGGAGATGGATGGCTCAGTAGAATGAGCACTTGCCTGGCAAGTGCAAGGGTCTGAGTTCATTCTCCAGTTCCAAAAAAAAAAAAAACAACCTATTAATAAAAGTCTTCCTTACTTTAAAAAATACTTCAACTGGGAGTGGTGGTGGACTCCTGTAATGGGGGCACTCTGGAGGCTGAGGTGGCAGAATCACAGCAAGTTTGAGGCCAGCCTGGGCTACATAGTGAAATCAAGGCCAGCCAACACTGTATAATGGTAACCTGTCTCCAAACAAAACAAGAAAGAGTAGCTTAAAAAAAAAGGAAAGAAAATAGAAGTGTGACTAGACGTGGTGGTTTGTGTGTAATCCTAGATGCTTGGGAGGCTGAGCAATAGAGTCATGAGTTTGAGGCAAGCCTGGGCAACTCAGTGAGACACCCGTTCTTGAAATAAAAAGCACTGCTGGGTGTGGTGGCACGTGGGAGGCTGAGGCAGGATAGTGGTGAGTTTGAGGCCAGCCTGGGCTACACAGGGAGGTCAAGGTCGGCCTGAACTGCGTAGCAAGACCCTGTCTCAGAAAGAGAAAAGAGAGAAAACAAAAAGGACACTAGGAGTGTAGCAGTACAGCTCTCAACACTCCTGGTTTAATAGAGGGACAGAGGGCCTGGGAGATGGCTCAGCAGAATAAGCCCTTGCCTGGCAAGCGCAAGGCCTGAGCTCAATCCCCAGTTACACGCACACACAAATAATAATAATAATAATAATAATAATAATAATAATAATAATAGAGGGATAGAAGAGGGAAACCAAATAATCTGTCCCACCTCAAGGGGCGAGAGTATCTCCAAAAGCCTTGCAGTTGTGCAGTGCTGCTGGTTCCTGGCAGACTGTATAAATGGCTTGAAGGAAATTCTGTAGACCCCAACTTGCTCATGTCTCCCGCGACTGTGTGGAAGGTTTCCTCACAGCCCTGTTGAGACAGTGCTAAGCAACCTTGCCTGTGCTTGGCAGTGACAGTGACATCTCCAGCCATCTCATCAGGGCCTTTCCTCTTTTCTCATTGCAGCATCCTGATGTCCTATGACCATGTGGAGCTTACCTTCAATGACATGAAGAATGTGCCAGAAGCCTTCAAAGGGACCAAGAAAGGTACCGTGTACCTGACCCCTTACCGGGTGAGTTGGACTACAGGGTCGTGTGTATCTTAGATTCAGTCTCATGAGCCTGGTGGCCTCTGAACCCTGGTGAATGTTAGTGCCTTGCTCTGCCTGTTTGTCTGTCACATGACCCTCAGTTCTAGAACCACAGGGCTCTTTGTGCAGCTGAGTTGACTGCTGAGCAGTGACTCTATGCAAATTGCGGTGCTGCTGCCACAAATCGCTCTAGAGTTGGATGCAGCTGCCAGGATGACTTCGGCTCAGAGTCTCATAGGAGGCCTGTGTGGACATCCAGAGTGATAAATAGAAACAGGATACGGTGGCTTGACCACGGCCTCTGAACTGGGCAGAGTCCCCAGCAGAAGCCTGCAGGGTAAGAAGTGCCAGACTGCAGAAGGGTCCTTGCCCAAGAACTGGCCACACAGACTCCAAGAAAGCAGTGTGAATGCCATCCCTGGAAGGGTCACTGCCTGTGGCTGCCCACCGGTGGAGCACATCTCTGTGTTCCCATCACCATGATATGGTGTTATGGTGACTTCCAAAACCCCCTTGCTGGGAGCTTAAGTGCCTACATTCAGTTAGTTTGAGCCTGACCAGTGGTTTGAAGACCCCTGGGTTATCCAGGCACACGGCGGTGGAGTTCTTGCTGTTGGGCAGTGTCATTTTTTTTTTGTGGAACTGGGGATTGAGCTCAGGTCCCTAAGCTTGCCAGGCAGGCGCTTATTCCACTGAGCCATCTCCCCGGCCCCAGGGCAGTGTCATTTGAGGGTAGGTCATAATGGCCACAGTGGCTGGTGCTGCACCATCATTCTTGGCAAGGCCCATGCCGAGCCTTCCACTCCTGGAGCCATGTGTGCCCTGCCCCCACCTCCCTTTCCCTAGTGCAGTAAGTCCCTGACTGACAAGCATGCAAGGTGGGAACTTCACCAATCTGACTTAAGAAGAGTTCTGAACTTACTGTGTTGTGGGGCCCTTTATGATGTACCGCATCTGCCACCCTCATCACTTACCTAATGCAGTCTGTCCTGCTCATAGCAGGTGATCGGTACCTTCCAGGGAATTCCTGAGTGCCTGGAATTCCTAAGGTTGCACTAGGCCTCTTTCCAGAGCTCTCTCTGGGAATATCTGATGCCGAGAGCCTGGGCCCCTGGCCGTGGCGTGGTCTGCCCACCTCAGCACTGGCGACAGACTCATCGCACACAGGAAATGAGTAGGAGGAGACAGCCCCGTGGGCTGTGGTTCTGGCACAGATGGCGCTTGTTCTCTCCCCACAGGTCATCTTTCTGTCCAAGGGGAAGGATGCCATGAAGTCCTTCATGATGCCATTTTATCTAATGAAGGACTGTGAGATCAAGCAGCCTGTGTTTGGCGCAAACTATATCAAGGGAACCGTGAAGGCTGAAGCAGGAGGTAGGTGGTGGGCCCTGGGATGCTGAGGAACAGGAAGGAGACTCTAGGAGGTGCTCTGGTTGCCTTTGACTGCCACTGTGGGGATGTCATCTTTGGACACACTGCCCTTCCTACTCTGTATTAATCTTCAAGAATACCTGAAGCTGAGTATGTTTGGTGGCTTACATCAGTAATACCTGCACTGAGGGAGGCTGAGCGGAAGGATCACAAGTTTGTATCCTTCCTAGGCAACTTGGCAAAAACCCTGTCTCGGAAAGTAAAGAAAAAGAAAAAAATTTAAAAAGAGCTGGAGATGTAGCTCAGTGGTAGATTATCCCTAAGTTAAAATCTCCACAACAAAAAAAAAAAAAAAAAAAAAAAAAAAAAATCTAGAGCTGGGCAGAAGGGCACAACTCCATAATCATAGTTATTTGAGAGGATGAGACAGAAGAATTGCAAGTTTGAGGCTAGGCTAGGCAACTTAGCAAGACCCCTTCTCAGAAATAACACTGGGGATGGAGCTCAGCAGTGAAGCTCATGTCTATTGTGTGGGTTCATTCCCTAGTACCGCAGAAAAGACCATTGGGCAGGCAGCAGCCCTGGGAGATGCTGGAATTAATATCGGCAGCTGAGGCGCAGGCTCTCGCTGTGCAGTTCACACTCACTTTGTAGCCCAGGCTGGTCTCACGCTTGGAGCAGTCCTCCTGCCTCAGCCTCCCAAGTGCTGGGATTACAGGTGTGCACTACCACACCCTTCTTGAGAAAGTGAAGTCAGTGAAATGACTGAGGACAATTTTTGTGTAATGGGCAGTGCGCACAAGTTTTAGATGTGGGCAAGACCTGTGTCCTGTTCCCTGGAAGAGGGAGCTGCTCCTGGGAAGACTGGACAGGTAGCCTGCACTTTTGCAGACACTGGAAGCCCCTGTGACAATCCTGGCCCTGCACACCCAGCCAGGCCCAAGCTTGCTTTCGAGGGACTCTTGGTTACCTCCTTAAGGCTGAGGCCAAGCTGGAGGAGGCAGAGTCTGCCTTAGGCCCCCTGACAATGAGAGATCTGCTCTGAACTTGAAAGTTAGCTAGCCGTTGCCAAGTGTGCTTTCTCCCAGGCAGCTGCTAAGTGCTTTTTGGGATGTGGGTGTGGAGTATAGAGAACTTCACTCAGTGTTAGGTGTGAAGCCAAGCCATGTCACCCTTGCGTCCATGTACTTTAACTGGTCTGGGGTTGAGAAGACAAGCTTGTTCCTAGGAGAAGCCTCTATTCCAAGTGTGACACTGAGGGCCGGGGATATACCTCAGTGGTGTAAGCACCTGCCTGGCACGCACAAGGACCTGGGTTCAATCCCTGGTACCACGTGCCATGCCTGAAACTGGGTGTGGTGATGCACACCTGTAATCCCAGCACTGGGGAGGCTGAGACAGGAGGCCCACTCAGTCCAGACTGCATAGCAAGATCCTGTGTCAAGGGTGATACTGCACAGCAGAGGCCAGGCCAGTCTGCAGCACCAGGTGTTCTGGGAGCAACAGGTCCAAGAAACAGCCATGGGAAGAAGGCAGGAGTGCCAGCCTTTTGCCACTGGTCTCTAGGCTGTGGCACGGGGGGTACCATCACTTTAGACATAACTTGTTTTCTTTTCCTTCAATGTTCATTCGCTGTCCTTGCCCCTTAGGTGGCTGGGAAGGCTCCACTTCCTACAAGTTGACCTTCACAGCAGGGGGTGCCATTGAGTTCGGACAGCGGATGCTCCAGGTGGCATCACAAGGTACCCAGGTTCTAAAAATTAAGGGCAAGGCCACACTGAGTGTGGGGCTTTTATTTGATCTTGTTCCCTTGATTTTGTTTTGTAAGCATCAAGAGTATCTGGGGTCCTGCTGACCAGGGCTAGGCGGTGGGGAGAAAGCCTGTGATTATTGGCCACTGTTATCCCTCAGAGCCTGGGCTTCCTCTGCCTTGAGCAGGTGTACAGAAAGCTGACAAAGCTGTTTGGACTCGACATTTTACTCTGGCCTCATAAAAACAAACACATACACCAAAAAAAAAAAAAAAAAAGAAAGAAAAAAACAACCAAGCCCACCAACCCCTGAACTGCACAAGCATCCGTTTAAACTCCCAAGTGCTCCACCCCACCTGGCTCTATCACTCTGTTCCCTGCTCTCCCAACTCCCCTCCACCCTGCTGATCTCCTCCCCTCTGCCCAGCTGCAGCCTCTGTGCCCATTCCTGCGTCTTCTCCCTTCTCATCCCTGACTGAGGCAGACCCAAGTGTAGGTGGGGACTGGAGTAGTGGGAGGGCACATCTGGGACCATAGTCGCGTGACCTGGCAACTTCCCTGGGCAGTCTGTGGGGTTGTCCTCTCCTAGCCCCAGGGCAGGTGACACTCAGAGCATCTCTCTCTCCCCTTGTACTTATAGCCTCCAGAGGTGAAGCCCCCAATGGAGCCTATGGGTACCCTTACATGCCCAGCGGGGCCTATGTCTTTCCCCCACCAGTCGCCAATGGAATGTACCCCTGCCCTCCTGGCTACCCCTATCCACCACCCCCACCTGGTGAGTGTGTCCTTTGCTGCCCACCCTTTACCCCACCCACTAACTACCCCTTCCAGGCAGGGGATGTAAAGGGAAGACCTGTTCTTTCACTGCTTCAGAAATAACATGCTGCAGAGGCTTGGAAGGTGCTCCCAGGGAGCTAGACGGAGCAGCTTCTGGAAGGTGGCCTTCTCAGAGGGTGAGGCTGGCTGCTCACTGAGTCTTTGTGTCTCTTATGGAGCAGAGTTCTATCCAGGACCTCCCATGATGGATGGAGCCATGGGATATGTCCAGCCCCCACCACCACCCTATCCTGGACCCATGGAGCCTCCAGTCAGCGGCCCTGATGTCCCCTCCACTCCTGCAGGTAAGGCCTCTGGGCTGTTGGCAGAGTTTCAGGATCAGCCTGCTCCTCTCCAGAGCTTTGCAGAGAGCCTCAGAGACTGGCTGGAGGCCACTGGAGCCCCAAAGGATGCCCCTGGCCTAGAGATCACCCCAGGGACAAACAGAGTGGGGGGCTAGTGGGAGAGGTAGAGTCCATTCTCTTCTGTCCCCTTTGCTAGTAATGTGGCTTCCCAGATATGCCTCAGTCCTCTCAACTATAGAGATGATTACAGGACCACCTCGTGTGATTGTGCAATGGGGTGAGATATTATAAAGGGACTGGAAAGGACAGTGCCATCGAATGGCTGGTGCTTAGGACTCTGTTGCTTTTGCTATGGATGGGGTGATGAGTGGGAACTGGGGTTCACTGAACTGGATGAAAGGGGGTTGCTGACACCTGTTATATATTTGCTCCCATAGCCGAGGCCAAGGCCGCAGAAGCAGCTGCCAGTGCCTATTACAATCCAGGCAACCCACACAATGTCTACATGCCCACGGTGAGTGGGAAGTTGCTGCTCCTCAGCCACACGGGCTAGGAATCGGGGAAACCTCAACCTGTCTGAACCTTCTAACTTGTTCTTTTCTCCCTTTTTTAGAGCCAGCCTCCACCACCTCCCTACTACCCCCCAGAAGATAAGAAGACCCAGTAGACTCCACCCTCCTCCCTGCCGCCTGTCTTCCTGGCTCTTTCCTACCCCTCCCTGTGGGGCTGGGGTAGGGGGTCCGGGAGGATCTTGTTCTCTCCAGGGCTGATGATAAATAGTGATCAGGAACTAGCTTTTTGGGATTGGTATCCCAGTTTCCCATTCCAGCTCTGACATGGCTTCCTCTCACCATCTCGGGCTCTCAGGAGCAGTGTCCTGCGGTTCCTATCCCACTCTCCTTCCCACAGGAGGAACTCTCTGGCTTCCTCCTCCACCAGTCCTGCCCCCAAAGTCTGGTAGCAGTTTTACACTCAGCCTTGTGAGCTCCATGCGACCGGCCATGGGTCTTTCTGCCTGTTTCATCAGAGCTTGCTAACATTCCTCCCACTGGTCTGTGTCTGGCCCTGGAGGGCCACTGTCCTGACAGACTGTCAGCCCACATTCCAGTCAGTCAGGCCCAGCCCCTAGTCACGTCCACCCTCCCTTCCCTGTCTTTGGACATTCTGTTGCCTCCTGTGGCTTCAGGGGCCTTTCCATGTTCCAGGGGTTGGGTGGCATCAAGAGAAAGACCCCTTCAGCCAGGGTGGAAGCGCCTCTGCTCTCTGCTAATGATTCTGGAGTTCAATTTCACACTTAAACTCCCCTCTGTCTATAAAAGAGTGTCAGGGGTCACAGAGTGCATGTCTGTCCCATCGTGCTGGTTGGGGGCTGCAGGGTAGGCTGAGAAGCGGGATTCGGCTCTTTGTGCTGACCACCACAGCTGCAGGCCCCTCAGCCTGTCCTTGGATGCAGGACCTTCAACCTCCACGGCTCAGAGGCACGAAGATTTGCCCTGTTGTTTCCAGACTGGTCACAAAGTGAGGAGATGGTTATTTAAAGAGATTCCCTATTTATTTGACAAAAAAAAAAAAAAAAGTCAGTTAATATATTAATGTAAAATAAACCCTGTTTGCACCTTGATTTGTTTGCTAAAACTGTGAAATAGTAAAAATGAAGTAATGACTCTTTCTGTGTGTATGTGGTGATTGTCCTGAGCCCTCAGAGCTGCGGGCCTAGGGAGGCTACAGAGGCTGCTCTTCCCTCAGTGAGGGTCCATTTGGTCCCCGGCTCACCCAAAGAGGGCCCAGCCCCAGCCTGCCATTCCTGCCTCTTCTGCTGGTTCCAGATGGGGATGCACTGGCTCTAGTAGGCTCAGGCTGGAGACCTGAGAGAGGTGGCTTAGGCTACCTGTGAGAGGCCACCGCTTGGCAGCCCAATTGGGACAAGCTGTGCGGGTCATTGCAGCACATGCCCTCCTGCCTGCCTGCCCACTAACTTACCTAGGGGAAGGAAAGAAACAATCAGAACCCATAGCCAGGCTGGTGTCCCACCCATAGTGCCAGGGGCATAGGTCAGGGGGCTCTGGGAAGACATCCTGTCCCCTGGGCACTGTCTCAGTTTGGTTGCGTAGCCTCTCCTACCTGCTCAGGACCTCCCACGATTTGGAGGAACGGAACTAGTGGTGGTTTTTTTTTAGCGGAACTGGGGATTGAACTCAGGCCCTTGTGCTTACCAAGCAAGGGCTTATTCTACTGAGCCATCTCCCCAGCCTTCCCACGATTTGGAGTAGCATTTACTTGACCATCATAGGCAGGGCTACAGGGCTGTCCCTGGCCAGCAGGGCTCAATCCTGTCACCTCCATGGAATGTCACCTGTGGGGTGGAGCAGGCTGAGTTGGCCACCTGGCTAGAAAGTGCCTCTCAGAAATCCTCATCTGAGCTTGTCCCACCCTGCCCAGGCCTGAGGGCCGATCAGAGGAGCCTGGCAAGAGAGCTCCTTGGGCCAGGTCAGCATGTGGGCAGGGCAGGGCACTGCTGCGCCTGCTGGGAATGCTGCACCCTCCCCAGTCCTCTGTGGGCCCCACCCTCCCACAGGGCTCACTTTCAGCTCCAACCTGCAGAAGATCCTGGGAGGATCCCAGCCCAAGGAAAGGCCAGGGAACTTGGGAGGCAGCTCCTTCAAGGCCAAGGCGGTGACACCCTGACTCTTCCATCCCCTTCCCCCTCCCTCCACCCTCCAGCAGAGGGTGGCAGTCTCGGGGCCCTTTGCATCATCCTGTGGCTTCGCTGTCTTCACCCCACAGCAGCAGGGCCTCAGAGGGAAGCGCAGAGCCGGCCACCATGGCCACTCGCCTCTCCCACCCCAAGCGGCGCCCTCCTCTCTTGCGCCAGGCCATCAAGATAAGGCGCCGCAAGGTTCAAGACCTGCAGGATCCCCCAGCCCAGATGACTCAGGAGGTAGGAGTGGCCTTAGCGGGAAGAAGAGCCGGCCTGGGGAGGCCTTAGTACTCTCGGGGTGTGGGAGCCTGGCTGTCTAGCACCACCTACCTGGCAACCCAGCCTCTGGGCAGAGCCTTCTGGGTGGGCAGAGCAGGTCTGCCATGTTCTCTGAGCTACCTTGGGCCTCTGGGGGACTGAGCCTCTTCAGCTCCTCCCCTCTGTGTTCTGACCCCTGTACCCTACTTCTCTAGCTCCAAAGGCACCAGCCCTGTGGGGCAGGGTCTCCCTCCTGCCTGGAGACCCCCTGAGTTGCCCCAGGCTGCTGGGCATCCCCCCAGGTATCTCCCCCAGGCATTCCCCACAGCTGCTGGGCCTCACTTCCGCTGCTGGGTGAGGAGCGGGCTGCCCAGCCGATAAGCAGTGCTGTTTCCTCTGGGGAAGGAAGAGGGTGGGGGCAGGTGATAGAGGGCCTGTGCTGCTGAGCCAGCTGAGCACCCATGGACCTCAGCCGAAGCAGGCCAGGGAACGAGCAGCACAGCCCAGGGACCAGAGCCCCAGGAGACCTGCTGTGGGACCAGGTGTGGAGCACGGCTGGGCATGGAGGCTGGGCTGCTGCAGCGGCCCTGCCCTAGGCCTGGGCCTTCCTGCCTATGTGAGCAGTACTCCAAGGACCCCTGGTCTTTCCACCTTGCTCTCCAGGTCAGCCCTGCATCCTACCACTTCTCCCCCAAAGAGGTAAGAGTCGGAGAGATGGGGGTATACAAGGGTCGGGTTGGCAGGCCTGCATCTTCCCCTCAGCCACTGGCAGGGCTGATGGCAGCACCCTCAGCAAGGAGGGAGGTACTTCTGAGCCTCGGCCTCCTCTGCCACTAGAGTGGCACTTTCCCTTGCTCTGGGTATGCAGTGTGGGCACCAGGCTGGCTAGTGGTTGTGGGGTTCCTGGGGTGACTGACCCTGCTGTATCTCAGCGGGACCTGCTCTATGAGGAAGCACTCTACACTGTCCTGCATCGAGTGGGGCAGCCGGAGCCCAACCATGTCGTAGAGGCCTCTGAGCTGATGCAGTACCTACAGGAGGTAAGCCCAGCCCCCACCCACCGGCTTCTTTTGGCCTGGACTCAGGCGCCCCCCTTCCTGGTCCAGAGGCCCACCATGTGCCTCCCCACCAGGCCTTCCAAGTACAGCCTGAGGAGCACCAGCACATGCTGCAGCAGGCCAGGGAGCTCGAGGTAGCCTGGGCACAGAGGCAAGGGAGGCCCAGGGGCAAGGGGGGACCTGGAAAACTGAGCCCTCTTGGGGACTCAGGCCACACCCTCCCGTCTCTCTAGAAACCAGTATTTTGTCTGAAGGCAACAGTAAAGCAAGCCAAGGGCATCCTAGGCAAAGACGTCAGTGGTGAGTATGGCCCAGTACCCTGAGGAACTTCTTGCTGGCTCTCCCTGTCCTGTGTGTGGTGTGTCAAACTCTTGAGTGAAATCCTCATCTCCCCGCATCCCCCCAGGCCTGGCCTCAGTGCCCAGCATCTGGGCTAGGAGGGGTCTGTGCAGCTTTCTAACTTTTTCTCTCAGCTCTGCTCTGGGAAGGAGGAGGGACTAATGAGGGATCCTGGCCAACTCCCTGGTGCCTTCTCTTCCCTCTTTTCAGGATTCAGTGACCCCTACTGCCTGCTGGGCATTGAGCAGGGGGTGGGTGTGCCAGGGGGCAGCCCAGGGTCCCGGCGTAGGCAGAAGGCCGTGGTGAGGCACACCATCCCTGAGGAGCAGACCCACCGCACCCAGGTCATCAACCAGACCCTCAACCCCGTCTGGGATGAGACCTTTATTCTGTACGTCGCCCTGCTCCAGCTTCCTTTGTCTGAGGCTCCTCTGGGTATCAGGGTCTCCCCAGGCAATGAAATCACTGGGTCTTTGTGATTCATGGGAAGGGGCTTGGCCTTGAGCTCTCAAGGCAGGCTAGACAGACAGAGGCTGCACTGGCCAGATCAGTGACATACATGCCCTGCTTGCTGGTGGAACAAAGAGAGTCAGGACTTTCTTCATGAAAGGAGGGGCCACCTGAAGCCTTACCCTGCAATAGGGAGGGATGCGGGTTGAGAGGGAAGGAAAAGCAGCAAGGGGCCTCAGACTACACAGTAGGTGGTTTTGAGGATGGCAGCTGTGAGGACAAGGACTTGGAGCCCACAAGGACCTCCAACCTTAGAAGGGCCTCAACCATAACTTCTTCTCCCTGCAGGGAATTTGAGGACATAACAAATGCAAGCTTTCACTTGGACATGTGGTAAATGACAAACATGCTTTTGGGGATGGGGAAGAGAAGGGGCCAGGGGTGGTTTTTATGGTGGCACACACCTGTAATCAAAGCTCCTGGGAGGCTGAGGCAGGAGGATTGCCATGACTTTGAGACTAACTTGGGAAGCATTGTGAATTCAGGGCCAGCATAAACTATATAGTAAGAACCTGTGTCAAAGACAGAGACAGAGACAGAGAGCCAGAGAGAGCCAGAGAGGGTCCAGCGGTGAGAGCAGAAGGTCCTCCTCCCTGAGGGGATCAGAGATACCCTCATTGCCTCTTGCTCAATCCTGTGACCCACCAGGGACATGGACACTGTGGAGTCTGTCCGACAGAAGCTTGGGGAGCTTACGGATCTGCATGGGCTCCGAAGGTGAGTGTCATGGGGTTCACAGGGAAGGAGGGGCTCCTTCTGCCCTCTCTGAAAGCACACCCCAGATGCTGGGCTGCAGGTTCCACCCCTGGGCCCTGGGTGCCATAAATGGGGGCAGATTCCACCCTGATCCCCTCAGGCAGGCCCTTGGCCCTTCTCTCTCACCCACCCCATCTGAACCAGGATCTTTAAGGAGGCTCGGAAGGACAAAGGCCAAGACGACTTTCTGGGCAACGTGGTTTTGAGGTTACAGGTGAGGGGCATGGGGAGAGGGCACAGATGAATAGTAAGAGGAGGGGCTGTTGGGGCTCTGGGGAGGCTCTGAGTTTGCCCCAAGCAGAGCCTGGCATCCATGCCCCACTGTTTCCCCACCCCTGATGTGTGAGCATTTCCTGCCTGCCAGGACCTACGCTGCCGAGATGACCAGTGGTACCCACTGGAGCCCCGCACGGAGACCTACCCAGACCGTGGCCAGTGCCACCTCCAGTTCCAGCTCATTCACAAGCGGGTAGGACTGTGCCCTGCTGCCTCAGTGGGCAGGGTGGGGAGGGCTGGCTGTAGCCCTACTCACAGCCATGCTGGCCTGTTTGCAGAGGGCCACTGTAGCCAGCCGCTCCCAGCCCAGCTACACAGTACACCTCCACCTTCTGCAGCAGCTCGTGTCCCACGAGGTCACCTTGCACAAGGTACCACCCTCCCAAACTGGGTGCCACCAAGGCTGACTTTCAGAGCCTGATGCCCCTCCACTGTCCCCTCAGGTAGGCAGCACCTCCTGGGATGGGTCACTGAGTCCACAGGCCACTACCATCCTCTTTCTCCATGCTGTGCAGAAGGACCTGTCTGACTTCCACCAGTCCATGGCGTGAGTACACAGCCCTGCAGAGAGCCCCTGGGGATGTTGCGGGATGCCAGTCTTCCCCGCTTTGTCTGCCCACCTGTGGGCTGGCAGTCTAACATCTGACCCTCTGAAGAGTGATCTTTGGCCCAAACTCTCTTTTAAGATTTAAATCAATTGTCAACACTTTTTTTTTTGTCTTTTTTTTTTTAAATTATTTATTTATTTTTATTTATTACATTTATTTATTGTA